AATTTTTTTTATTGGTACCAGGGATCGAACTCACGACCTTGTATTGGTGAGGCAGGTGTGGTGCCACTCAGCTAAATCCCTGGCCCCCAAATACAAATAATGTTAAAAAACCCTCAAGGGTCACAAGGGTGAGAGGCATAGAGGGGGGCAACTTGAATGTGTAAGGAAGTCTAGGATACTACACATATACTATCGTATGTACCTCTAGCTTCTAGGAGCCACAGAGCTAACCTAGGCAAGAGGGAAGTAAACGTGTCAGGGTTTGGAATAGCTTTCCCAAAGAGAAGCAAGTGGGCTCTTTGCCAGCTCAACAGCTCAACACCTGTGGCTCACCACTGGCAGTTTAACAAGTCCCACCTACTACCTCGACCTCCTGGAAGGCTCCTCTGCGCAGGCCCAATACATCCATTTGCAAGCATAAACCTAGAATTCTTCTGGTGGCCACAAGGGGGCGGTGTATAGCAGGAACCCTGTGGGCTCAGAATCTCAGACTAAAACCAGTCTATTTAGTAGCAGAGCGAGCAGCATTTAGCCCCAGGAATTATAAACCACTCTTGACTGTCTCCCAGACTTCAGACATTCCCCCTCCAGAGTAATCCAATTGGGCCGGGGATTTAGCTCAGCGGTTTGGTGGCCTGCCTGGCAAGCGCAAGGACCCAAGTTCAATCCCCGGTACCAAAAAAAAAAAAGAAAAAACAGAGTAATCCAATTTCCTCAAGCTTCTATTCCTAACTCAAGGCCACCTGCCTGCCTGGGTTCTCACTGTCTGTTGTGTTGGAACCCAAATCTTTCCAAACAAGTGAGGGGAGCAGAACCAGCAACAATGGAAGAGAGGAAGGGCAATGGAGGAAGACAGTAGGAAAAACAACCAGGGCTGGCAATCAGGAATGGAGGCCGGGCTTTAATACTTATGTTCCCTTGCCAGGGGAGCCTGTTTCCTCAAGGAACAGCCAGGCTGAACCTGTTCCCTACAGCGCTTCAGTAAGGGAGGGTTTCAGCCCTCTGTCCATTCTTTTTTGAGGCCACAGGTGTGTGCGCACTGCGTTATTAGCCATAGGTTCAGAAGTCATTACTTGGCCCAGACATCCAGGGAGGAAGAAATCAGACCTGGAGACCAAGGTAGGATGAGGGCCAGGCTGATTCATGGCTTTGAGGGAGGGCCCAGGCTGCTTAATGATAGAGGAGCAAGGTGTTTTCCGTAGCATCACCTATGGGGCCTGGGTCCCTGCTAGAGTCCCTGTTGACAGAAAGGATGTGAGAGCGTCTTTCTGCTCAGAACAACCCTGACCTTCCAGGGGTTGGTGTGCAGCCTATGGGGGAAGAATGCTGGTCTTCTGAAAGCAGGAAGGAGATGGCACGAGGAGCCTAAATCGCAGCAAAACACTTTTGGTCTCTTTTGTGATGGATTGGGACACCCCTCAGAGGGGAAGAAAAGGGTACCAAAGACCCTGCTGAGAAAGGAGTAGGAGCCGGAAGTGGAGTGTTGACTCGGATTGACCCCCCTCTCTGAGGTGAATTACCTTCTGAATGGCACTGTTTTCAATAAGCTCCTGAAAACCTTCCCTTTATTACCCCACCTCAGGAAAACAGGAGACATCAGATTGGCTGGCCTTGTCAGTGTTAACGCAGTGCCCAGCCCCTCACCTTGACTGCTGGGCAAACAGCTCATTATATTACAATTTATAAATAGAAAATAAAATAATCAAGTAGGGCTGAAGCTCAAGGGAAGAAGAGGCTAAACAGTCCTCGTTAAGGAGTGCCCACCCTCACCTCTAACTACCAAGAAGCGGGAATTGCCTCCTTTCGGTTGAAAGTTGTCTCTAAACCAGGCAGTGTCGGAGGAGCCCCCTTTTCCTCCCTTGCCCTCCCACCATCCCAGTCAGCGTCGCCTGCTGCCCGCAACCGCAGATTTCAGCCAGCAGGACCCGTTTTTGTCGAGCGCCTCTAGGTCGCCCTGCCTGGGGCGCTCAGCCCAGCAGCTCCTCCGCCAGGCGGTAGAGGAGGCGAGAGTACCAGTGCATGCCCGTCGGCTGGACCGCGCCCCCGGGCAGCAGCGCC